CATGTGTGTGTGTGAAGTGTGATACTGAGTGTTGCGTGTGGGACATCCAGGGTGATCCAGAGTGCGAACAGTGAGTTGTGTGGGCGCTCAGTCGCCATAGCCAGTTTGAAGAGAACTCTTATGTGGATACGATATCTTGAGTACTGAGTGGGCGCCTGTCGCCAATTTGCTGTTTCGCTGTTTGCATACATGACAAGTTGAACAATCGTAGTGTGATTTCAGGTAGGAGATAGTGCGTGGATATCGTGACATGCACTGTCTGCTGACTATGTGCTTGTTTGTGTCCTTTTGCCCTTTCGACAGGTCCAATTGCATGGCCAGCATGAAGATTGTGGCGAGTACCAGCTTGCAAAGGACTTGATTTACCTTGTCGTAAATGGACCAGGCGCTGAGGTTTATCTCGAGTTCTCTGGTTTCTTCGGCGACTGGATCGATGTGATGGTTAAATGTCCGAGCGACAAGTTTGAAGACAGCAAATGCTGGGTTGAAGAGAGCATTATTTCCAATGTGCACTGTCTGTGCAGGGAGCCAACTGGTCTGCCTGGAGTGAGCCTGATGGTCAAGGTCATACGCCCAAAATGCGTTGAGGAACTCGTTCCTCGCCAGGACCGCAGCGAATCGCAGGTTGTTGGCGAACAGGAGATTCTGCATATTCTCAGAAAGTCGGGTCCGAAGCATTATTATGTCTGGCCAGAACTTCGCTGGGGTCAACAACGTGAACGCTATTTCCCGCGTGAGAATGGCAAGAAGGTATTCGAATTGCTTCGGCCATCGGTGATCAAGGAGACAATGGAAACGATCATTACGCAGGGCGAGGAGCTAAGATGGTTCGTGAAGGAGCTAACTCAGCGTCAAGTTGCCGAAGGCGGCCTGAAACCGTCGAGTCCAGCAGTCGAAAGGTCGCGGATTGGCGGCGTGGAAGTGGAAGTGGAGGGGTTTTTGCCGGAGCCATCGCAGAAAAGCTTGTCGATCCTGTTGGAGAACATGCAGGGGACCTTAACGAGAATGATGACGGTGATGACGGAAATGCATCGGACGCAGGGGGAGATGTTTACGCGCATCTGTAGCATGCTGAACGACATGCATCGGACTCAGGGGGAGATGTTTACGCGCATCTGTGGCATGCTGACGAATCTGTCGCGCCTTGCAACGGAGAAACACACGCACCGATTGCCTCACCTACTCTACTTCACTGAAAAAGTGGGGAGAGTGTCGAGGCTTGCGGCATGGTTTGGTCGCCCACTCGGAATTCGGCCTTTTCAGCTTCATCTGATGTGCGAGTCCAGGGCCAAATGCCATGTTGTTGAGAAACAACCAGGCCTGCAAGTATGGATCCAGGAGAGAGAGAGAGAAAATGTATGGGTCCTATTAAGGACTACGCTACTCATCCTAACGGTGCTTATGGTGTCGGGATGCGGAGCCATGGCAGGCATACATGCCTTGATGCCTGATATGTCTGCCTTCACAAGTGACTGGTCGATCGTAGTGTCTGCAACTGCGACGAAAGACATCGCAACCCTTGGAACGAGTGCCAGGGATGCTCTGAACGATTTCAAGGACCGTCTTCATAAAGGTACGCGAATGTTTGATGACGATCTCGAGGCGGATTGGAGAAGGGGTGAGGCATTTCTTTGGCTAGAGAAAATCCTTTCGCCTCACAAAATCCAAGAACAGTTTGGATTAACATGTGTCAAATACACGGATAACAGTTCCATCGCTTGGATCTGCCGTGACTGCTTCAAGGAGCACCATCACGAAATCGAGCGATTCACATGATTACTTCGAATCGCCTCTCACTGGGTTTCCAACTTTCCAGTGAGATCACTTCAAAGTTTGAAGTTTGAACCCCTCCACTACTGCAGGGTTCGCAGCTGCTGGGATTAGGGCAGGAATCATGGCCCAGGTGAAGGGGGTGGATTTTTTTTTCCGGCCAGGGGGGTGCTGGGGGGGAGCGAAGGGGCGTTGTAGGGAAGGGGCATCCTGTGGGGGTCATCCCAATAGGGCGACCAAAGAAGGCGCTGGCCACTGCTAACTTCTCCTTTTGCATTTTCTTTTCCCCCGCTTCTCATTAGTTCAAGCGTAACTTGATTTTTTTCTTTTCTTTGAAGGCCTTGATTTCCTCCTCATCGTCCGTTAAGCAGCTTTTGCAAGGACGCACAATTCCAAGGACGCGACCCTGGATCCAATCCCAAGAGCCTTAGGATTGGGTCCAGGGTCGCGTCTCCAAGCCTGAGTCCAGGTTCTGGGCCTCTGGGCCAAAAAGCCTCTGGGCCCGGAGTTGTCTGAAACTTTGGCCTCAGGTCGAGCAGACGGGGTTACGGGGTGGGGCTCAGAAACACCCCCAGCCTGAGGGCCTGGAAAAGTCAACCCCCCAGGCGTGAGGAAAGTCAACAGCCAGTCCCAACTGGGGCACAGAAGATCAAGAGTCAAATATTTTCCCAGAAGTCAAATTCGGCCACAGATCATGCAGTCCAAAAGCTCAGCACAGTTTCGGGGAACTTTCAGAATTATTGGGACCAGGCACACACGGGCCGCGAACAGATCCCAGCGGCACGGATCAAGAAAAGATCAGCCATTTCGGGAGGGAACCTGAGACAGGCGAAGAGCGAGTCAAGACTACAAAAGCAGGCCCTTACTGCGTTTTGGGGCACCCATTCTGCCCGGCCCGGGTGAGCGGATGCTGGAGCTCGAGCCGTGAAGGAGACCACCTTGCACCGGGCAGAAGTAAAAGAGAGAGAGAGAGAGAGAGAGAGAGAGAGAGAGAGAGAGAGAGAGAGAGAGAGAGGAGGTGATTGGAGAGGGAGGTGTTCCCAGAAGATAGAATTTGTACTCTTTTTTTTTGAGTCTTTTATCATTACCGCAATTAGGGTTTAGGGTTTATCCTCCATCATCTTCTTCTCCCCTCTCCCCTCTCCCCTCTTTTCTTCTGCTCTTTTGAGTTTGGAGTTCATCCCTGCGAAGCCTTCGAGAGGTGAGCACTGATATCTGGGTTCATTGCGCTTTCTTACTTTACGACTGTCACATCATAGCGGTTCATCCGAGTGAGTTCTGCCCAGGAAGCCCGCAGCGGCCACTCAGTAATTCCACTCCAAATCGACGGAGCATATAACCGCGTTCAACGCCGTTCATCTCTACAAGTTTATGCGACGCTTTTCATCGATGTTTGCTGACGTTTCCTCCATGTCTGGAAATATGCTCTTAGACTGTGAGCAGGCAATCTGTGGCTGTGGGGACCACAAAAAAATGCAAAATAGTTGCTTGGATACCGCCGGATGCGAGGGGGCGGTAAGACCCTGTTTAAAAAAAAAATAATAATAATAAAAAAAATAAAAAATAAAAAAAATAAAAAATAAAAAATAAAAATAAAACAAAGTGTCGGTCAGAGACAGGTAAGCTTGCGCGGCCTTCGATGGTGACACTACCCTCTCTCTCTCTCTCTCTCTCTCTCTCTCTCTCTCTCTCTCTCTCTCTCTGTGTAGGTTCAGGGGGGTGGCTGGCTGCCGCCAAGTTCATAATAACTATTAATAACTTATAATAAGTTAATAGCCTCCATTATTTTTGCCACGGCTATCTTCCATCAAGCCGGACCATTCCGTGGGGATACAGGGTCGGAGGTCTCCAAGAACGGTTAAGGATTTGGGCTGCTGCATCTGGAAGGGAGGGTGGAGAATAGGCAGTCAGTAGATGAGATACCTGGCAGCAGGGCGGAAGAGGTTTCTTACTCCTCTCTTGAGCGGACGAGCTGGTTCACCCCTTTAGCGGCGAGGGGGGGGGGGGGGGGGGGGGGGCGAGACTTGGTTAAAAAAAACAAAAAAAAAAGAGGATGTGAGCTGGCAATCTGTGGCTGTTGGCCCACGAATAAATGCAAAATAGTTGGTTTGTATAGGCTCGGTTTCCAGTGCGCAACCTCGCACACGTGTTGGATACCGCCGAAATAGCAGCGGATGAAACCATTGTGTCCTGAACCCAGGACCTTAACCTTCGGGGGGGGGGGGGG